TTCTTCAATTTTTTTCTATTTATTTATTTCCCTATTTTTCCTTCCTTTATTTAACGCCAAAAACGATTTCAAATAATACGCTGGAAAAACTTTTTTTGAACAATTTTTTTTACTGTTGTACATGAGGCGAAAAATAGTGATTTGACTTCTTTTATAGTCTTTTGACAAAAAGCATCGTCTAATAAAGTTTTTTTTGCCAGGTGAACACGCAAATAAAGTTTTATTCACTGTATTTTATCCAATTTTTAAATCAAAAAGCAGAAAAAAAACTTGTTATTCTGATCAATAAAAACAAAATTTTTGAAGAATAAACTATATAATGATATTTTTTCGGTTAATTTAGCCTCTTCAAAAGCTTCTTTTTTTTTTTTTGCTTTAGACTGCTGCACAACAAAAGGCTCAGAAAACCTTTCAAATGCAACAGCCACCAAACAAACTATTCTTAAAATTAACCACGGTGAATTAACCGTGTTTGGATTTTTAATATTCAAAGGGTTTTAACGTTCATTAGCCGAATTCAGATGTTGGCAGAACAACTGTTTGTCAATATTATGTTAGTTTTTGTTGGAAAAGAAGTGGTTATTTACGATGGTGCTCAACGCTTTTGATATCCTTTATCGGTGCTCAACTATGATAAATAAGTTTATTGAAACCATAGTGAATAGTTTTGAAGTCGACCTAAAACAAGCAATTTTTTATAATGTATGTATATCCAGCTTCTAGTGTTTCTGTGATAGCAAACCTGTGATGAATCAGTTGAACACTGCGAATCAATCAAACATCTAAGTAGACTTGAAGAAATTTGTCCTTCTAAAAGTTTCAGCTTGACAACAGATAAAAAGCTTCTTGATCAAGCCAATATTATTTGTTCCATAGAATTGAACACACTCTGAAATTGTTTAGCCGAATTACTTTATAATCGCCGTCAAAAAACCGGTAGCGCCTATAGAACCTGTCTGATCAGTACTCAAATTATAAAAAAGTTAACAAAAAATAACTGAAATAAAGAGCTGAAAAAGACCATTGAGTACGCAAAACATCTATTCTGGCAAAAAAAAGTGTGCTGAAAAAAATTGAGAGACAATAAGTATTAGGAAAAAGTGCTAAGATTTTTAGAAGCTATTCAACAGCCACCTGTTTTATCCATAAATTTTTTTCTATAAACTATTATCTAATTCAGATATTTAAAAAAACTGTTAATTATTGTTTAAAAAACAACACAAAATTTTTAATGTCCACCACCGAAACTTCTACTTCTTTTCAATTCTTTTTAGCCCTGTAAAAAATATTTGCTTTTTTTTGGCAGATTCAAATATTTATTTTTTTACATACTAACGAACAGTTACAGTTCAATAAAAATTAATCAGGGTATTATTGAAATTTTTAGTTGATCAGCAGAAAAACAAACTGTTATCTCGTTTTTCTGAACATCATAGAATTACGCACTGTAAAAAAACCAGCTGTTTTTATTGACCTTTATCATTTTGAAGTATCACCCTCCTACATCTCGCAGCAAAACTTATCATAACCTTTAATAATAAAGTTTATAAAAATGGAAAAAGAGGAAACTTTAAAACGATTAAAGTTTGTGACTATCGATTTCTTATCAACAATTAGACATTTTTCCCGCTCCAGTTCTTCTTCTTCTCCTTCTTCGTCTCTTTCTAAGTTTTTTGTTCTTGAACAGAGTGCAGGATAAAGATGAATATCATACGAAAAATGATGAAGAAGGCTTAAAAGAAAAACTTGAACAGGTGTTTAATCGGTGTTGAAATCATCGACTGTTTAACACTATGAGAAAGCAGCAAGTGGCAAAATAAATGAGAACGTTGTTATTTTATATAAATATATGTATCAACAAAGTTATCGCCTTTATCAATCTAACAGTGTTAAAGAACAGCCTTGGTATTTGAACAAATGGTTCGGTGGCGTTTTCAGTCTTTTCCTCTGCAGTGGATATCATTTTTTTGTCTCGTACCTGTACTGCTGACTCATGCTAATGATTCTGGTCATTCGCTTAGCTTAAGTCAACCAACTGAAGCTACCGTCGAACGTAACAAAATTGTTATATCCGGTTCTACGCCAACTGAGGTTTCAATACCGATCCAGCTAAAAAAAGAAGATCCATCCAGGGCTCTCGTTTACTTTACCGATAATGAACTGGAAAAC